AAAAAAAAAAAAAAAGTTTCCCTGTTTACAGAGCTCCTAGAGGCCTCCCGGTGGTTCTGAAGTTCTGCATTTTGGGGCAAGAGACCTGGGGAAGCTGCAGGACACCTTGTAAGGGACTTAATTTTTCCAGAAGCTGTGTTCAGTTGAGAGATGGCATGGCCTGCAAACAGCAGCCTATTTAGCCCAGTCAGGGGAAAAGCAGACCACCCGGCCCCCTAGGATCAAAGTCGAATCCTTAAACTCCAGTAAGGAGAAAGCCTGACTTCAGGGTGCTCAGTGACTCAGGGCCCTGGAAGGGTCCCCGGAGCAGCCTTCAAATGTATACCCGAACTGACTCCAGAAAGTCACTGCTGGGGCCTGGCTTTCAGCAACTACACCCAATCCCTGTGGTAGATGCTGGGTATAGCACATGTTACCATACTGCGCATGCTGCCCTGTAACCAGATCGCCTGGGAAAGCCATCCCAGGGCTGGGGGCTAGGTGGTCTGGGTAAAGGAGAGGCCAAAGTCTCCCCCTCGGAGTGTCCTGTCTCCAGTCTCCCTGGAATGCTCATGTGTCCTCCTGAGCTGGCTAGGGACTGGGGAACTGGGGCTGGGTGGTGACACAGGAAGGGTCCCAACCCCAGCGCAGCAGGCTGAAAGGGACACAGTGTGAGTGCTTTAGCCGGTGGGGGGCTGCTGGTGGGGGCTGCTGCTCTCCCATGTCTGGGAAGCTTTTCTGGCTCCACTAACCAAGTAGTGGAGATCAGGCCAGAAATCAGAGCTGAATCAGAGCTCAAAACACAGGCTTTCTCTTCTCTCCTTTCCCCCCTTTTACCCCCTGGGATTATCCATTTCCTTCAAAGGCAATTCTTATTCCTGCTCCCAGGACCCAGTTGCCTGTCTATCAAGTGGGGAATTTCAATAGGTTTTTTAAAGGGACAGAGCGCCCAGGGCTCTTACTAGAGAACTCACCTGGGGTCCTCTCCTCCAGCTTTTTGTCAACATTACTAACTTTTCCAACTGGTTTGGATGTGACTCTGCGTATAGGCCTGACACCTGATTGGCCTAGATGTTACCGGCTTGGGACCCGGTGAACTTGGCTCTGTTCAGGAGCAGTTCCAAGAGAATCTTCCACTCCAATGCAGAGACAGGAGCCCTGGCCAGCCTCTCCAACCGGGCCTCAGAATGGAGCCTGGCCTGGATGCATATAACCCCTGAAAGTCCAGGGCATCTAGGGGCCCAGCTGCTTGGCTGAAGTCAGGTGGAGGGAGGGCAGGAGAGTGAGCCTGACCCTGAACAAGGGTATCTCCAAGTGCAGTTCTGAAGTCGGTATAGGTCCACAGGCTCCAGGAGGTCAAGAGGTACATTCAAGCCTATACATGCAAGGAGAACCAGACAGACCTAGAGCCCGAGACCCTGATCTGGCCACTTGGCTGCTAAGAGGGCAACTCAGAGGGACAACCAACGCTTTCCAGGGCCAAGATGAGTCTGTCAGTGGGGGCCCCTGCTCCCTCTGTGCTCCTTCCAGGCCAGCTACACCTGGGTCCCCGCATTCCTGTCCTTTCTGCAGCTCCCCAGGGGAGTGGGACAGCTTGGGGAAGCACCATTTCCCTGAGAGGCAGAGAATGACACCTCCACTCTCACCAGACACTCAAATTGTTAATGCTCAAGCCAGAGTGTCCCCCACGACCCAGGGCTTCGGCAAGAAGACTCAGCCTCACATACTTTTTCTTTCGGCTTAGGAGGTAAAATCTAAATTGCCTTCCATCCAGTCCCTCTGCAGCTCTGTCCAGCAACTTGCCACACGTTTAAAGAACACTTTCCAGGCAGTCAGCTATGAACTTCTGTTAGCCCTGGCCCTCTTGCCTGGAGGCTGCAGTCATGCCCACCTTACCCACACTGGCTCCCAGGCCACTGCCTGGGACGATGCAAAGGGTCAGCGGCTGGAGCCCAGCCTAGGGCTGCGGGCACTCAGGCCCCGCAGCTGCCCCACGGAACACACCAAGTGTCCTTCAAGCCTGTGCAGGCTTTGTTGGCAACTTCGCAGCCAAGAAAGGACAGTGTGGCCTGACTAACACGGCTTGTTTCGTGTGTTTCAAGCCAACAGTTTATTTTGTTTTGCAGCAGTGGTGTCCTGTGACAGGACAGCGAGGTTTCTCTTAAGCTTCAGAAGAAAAAAAAAAAAAAAAAA